AAAAAAAAAAACTACCTGAATATAAATTCATTCAAGAACAAATCGTCTCTAGAGACGAATAAAGGCGCGCTAGTGTTTCGACGGCGAAAAAATACGCATACAAAAAATGTACGAAAAACGGCGCTTAATAAAAACTTCGGCGAAGAAAGACGCGTAACCTAGTTGACGGCGAAGAAAGACGCGTAATCATAGATTTATACATGGCCAAGTCCTGTCACTTCAGCATTATTCGCCAAAAACTCTTTACGGAATGTACATACTATTACAACCGCGAACATAGTTGACCGCGAAAATAAGTTTACGCGTCCTTCTTCGCCGTCAAATATTTTAACGCGTCTTTCTTCGCTGAAGTTTTTTTTATGCGCCTTTTTTCGCGGTCAACTTTTGAGCTCGCGCCTTTATTAGTGACGAAATGTTCTTGATAAACTTTTATAATAACGAAAGAAAAACATAAAAAATAACATTACAAAACAAATAATCATTCAAGAATCTATTCATTTATTTATGTACATACATTAATATGTATTAAAAGTGGTATATCGCGTATGCATAAAAATCATTGCAATACTTTGTTCCTTAGTCTTTTTCTTATTCAATGTTAAAAAATAGTTCATTTGAAATCACATTTATTAGTTGTACTCATAGTAGTAAAAATATGCAGCTTCTGCTGACTATAAAGGTGTTGTATTGAATAGTAAATTGATTAGTAAATAACTTGAGTTTAATTATTTAACAGGTGGTAACTCTTTTCGAGNGTAGTAAAAATATGCAGCTTCTGCTGACTATAAAGGTGTTGTATTGAATAGTAAATTGATTAGTAAATAACTTGAGTTTAATTATTTAACAGGTGGTAACTCTTTTCGAGAAAGTGAAACCTTATTGCACATCTACAGGCCAAGCGCTTTAATTTGACACCCCATTTTTGAAAATTGAGCGAACGGTGCAGATCTTTTATGCTGCACAAAAAATGCCTTCACGTATTATATACTGGTAATCGTAACACATGAGAGTTCGATATACTCAATGGTGCAACAGGCCGAATTAGTCTGACATTTACGGCACCTTTTCTCACTTGTCGATTTTTAGTAATAACTCGACCTCAGCACCACCTGGCAGCTGTTTTTTGCAATAGTATTGCTCTTACCATGACCAATACATATTTAAAATATTAGCCAAATCGAGTCGCAAATAAGGTTTTTAGTAATAACTCAACTACAGCGCAACTGGCGGATTGAATTGTGAAACTAAACCATCCAGAGACCCACTCAAACACACAAAAAATTTCGTTAAAATCCGTACAATCATTTAGGAGGATTTCACTTACAAACACACCTACAGAAGAATGATAAATACATTCAAAGATAGCTAAAAGTCGGTACGTTGGTAGGCCTCACGCCCCCTTTTCAAATAGGACCAATTTTCTCCGTGAGTATGGGCTTGCTTTCATATACATACATACATATCTCCATACGAAGCTCCAGTACTCTACCATGAATACTTTCAGAGATATGCAGTATAAAATTTCGGTTTGTATGGGAGGTGCCACGCCCCCTTTACCAATAGCTCCCATTTTTCTTCATGAGTATGCGATCGATTTCATATATCTCCATACTAAGTTCCAATACTCTACCATGGACATTTCCAGAGATATGTAGTATGAAAAATTCGGTTTGTATTGGAGGTGCCACGCCCCGTTTTCCAATAGCTCCTATTTTTCTCATAGAGTATGCGATTGATTTCGTATATCTCCATACAAAGTTCCAGAACTCTACCATGAACACTTCCAGAGATATGCAGTATGAAAAATTCGGTTTGTATGGGAGGTGCCACGCCCCCTTTTCCAATAGCTCAAATTTTTCTTCAGGATTATGCGATTGATTTCTTATATCTCCATACCAAGCGTCAGAACTCTACCATGAGCACTTCCAGAGATATCCAGTATGAACAAATCGGTTTGTATTGGAGGTGCCCCGCCCCCTTTTTCAATAGCTCCTATTTTTCTCATAGAGTATGCGATTAATTTCGTATATCTCCATACCAAGATCCAGAACTCTACCATGAACACTTCCAGAGATATGCAGTATGAAAAATTCGGTTTGTATGGGAGGTGCCCCGCCCCGTTTTCCAATAGCTCCTATTTTTCTCATAGAGTATGCGATTAATTTCGTATATCTCCATACCAAGATCCAGAACTCTACCATGAACACTTCCAGAGATATCCAGTATGAACAAATCGGTTTGTATTGGAGGTGCCACGCCCCCTTTTTCAATAACTCCTATTTTTCTCATAGAGTATGCGATTAATTTCGTATATCTCCATACCAAGATCCAGAACTCTACCATGAACACTTTCAGAGATATGTAGCATGAGAAATTCGGTTTGTATGGGAGGTTCCACGCCCCTATTTTCACTACAGTGAAACCCGCTTAAGTACCCCCCCGCTTAAGTACCTAACCCACTTAAGTAACCCAAATTTTTGGGCACCGTGAATTTTTTAATGTAATCTGACGAAAATCCCTTTCTTAAGTACCTCCCCGCTTATTTACCCAACCCGCCTAAGTACCTAAATTTTTCGTGCCCCATTTACCATTTTACTCATAAGTTTCCCCTTTTAAGTGCTCTTTTAAAATTCCTTAAAATATTTACATATTTTGAATCTCAGTGGCAGCGTTACACACCTTCGGCAAAAAATTATAAAAAATCAACGGTAATTTTGAGCCACTTGAAACTTGCAAATTATTACAGTAAAATTGAATGGGCTCGAATACTCGAAAAACACATCAATCATCACACAATATTGGTGAATTTTTTCTTTACGTGTTCTATAAAAACTTAAGCTTAGGTTTTCATGGTATTTGTTAGGGAATGAACTATATTTTAATTGAAAAATCTTAAATAAATATGTATACTTCATTAAATGTTTATGTTTTTTCAAGGATTTACATATTTATGTAAGTTAACAAAAAGATGTAACTACATCAATAATTATGCTCGCTTAAGTACCCGCATCGAGGTACTAAAGCGGGTTCTTTTAAGTACCCAACCCGCCTAAGTACCTCAAAAAGCTGACATTTTTCATGAGGTACTTAAGCAGGCTTTAGTGTAGCTTAAATTTTTCTCCAAGGGTATGCGATTGGTTTCGTTTGTCTCCAAACGAAGTTCCAGAACTCTATCATGAACACTTCCAGAGATATGGAGTTTGAAAAAATTCGGGTTGTATTGCAAGTGCCACGCCTCCTTTACATATAGAATTTTTTTAGCCGTAAACCATCCTTGAACACGTGCGGCAGGTGTCTGAAGTTTCAAAATAATCGGTTCAGCCGTTCTTGAGCTTTGCGAACACTAAGAAAACGGCGTTCGAAATATATTAGTATATATATATTATATATCATTACTATATTTTGGCTGTATCTGTTGTTTCTGATTGCCGCGAAAAAAACTTGCCTAGTGACAAATTCGCCCCTTGATATGGTGGTTGCTCAAAGCTATTTATGTTCGAAATTGCTACCTACGTACAAAATTTTAATCAAATCGGACCATAGATAAGATTTCTCGAATAGATCGGTCCCTGGTCCACTTCGCGGAAAAGAGGATCCCATATGCTAATCTAGGCAAAAAGCTACCCACGCACCAAATATTAAGCAAATCGGACCATAAATACGATTTCTTCGAATAGATCGGACCCTGGTCCACTTCCCGGAAAAAGGATCCTATAAGCTAATCTAGGCAAAAAGCTACCTACGTACCAAATTTTAAGCAAATCGGACCATACTAAGATTTTTTCGAATAGGTCGGTCCCTGGTCCACTTCACGGAAAGAAAAGGATCCTATATGCTAATCTAGGCAAAAAGCTACCTACGTACCAAATTTTAAGCAAATCGGACCATACTAAGATTTTTTCGAATAGGTCGGTCCCTGGTCCACTTCACGGAAAGAAAAGGATCCTATATGCTAATCTAGGCAAAAAGCTACCTACATACCAAATTTTAAGCAAATCGGGCCATACTAAGATTTTTTCGAATAGGTCGGTCCCTGGTCCACTTCACGGAAAGAAAAGGATCCTATATGCTAATCTAGGCAAAAAGCTACCTACATACCAAATTTTAAGCAAATCGGGCCATACTAAGATTTTTTCGAATAGGTCGGTCCCTGGTCCACTTCACGGAAAGAAAAGGATCCTATATGCTAATCTAGGCAAAAAGCTACCTACATACCAAATTTTAAGCAAATCGGGCCATACTAAGATTTTTTCGAATAGGTCGGTCCCTGGTCCACTTCACGGAAAGAAAAGGATCCTATATGCTAATCTAGGCAAAAAGCTACCTACATACCAAATTTTAAGCAAATCGGGCCATACTAAGATTTTTTCGAATAGGTCGGTCCCTGGTCCACCTACCGGAAAAAAGTAAATTTTTTTTGGCCTAAAACATGGTGGTTGCTGAAGGCTATTTTTATACAAAATTTCATGAAGTCGGACCAGCCGTTCGCGAGATTACCTGTTACAAAAAAAGGGACTCCTCTTTATATAATTAGTATAGAGTATAGGTAGATAGTATAGATATAGATTATATTCTAAGACGTCCACCAAAATATTTCGGAAAAATATTAAGATTTAAGCGAGCTGGACCGGTTTGAAAATACCTCCAATAATGGAGTTTTTCATGAATAAAAATAGTTTCTGAAAGATGTTTTTGAAACAAATGACAAAACGGTTTAAGTTTAAAAAATTTATATAAAAATATTCAATTAAAAATAAAAAAAAAAATTTTTAACGGAATCGTAATAATGAGATTTTTGATGCTGCTTTTAAACTTTTTTCAAAGACTGGTATAAGAAAAGCTTGAATAACTGTACCTAAACTCTTCCGGTTTAGACTTGGGAGGTATCATTGGAAAGGTTTTTCTCACCTTTTTTAGTTCTTTGCTAATAAGCTCATTCAAAGGATGAAAGAGAAAGGTAGGATGAACGAACATCATTCAAAGTTGAATTAATATGCGTTGGTATTTGGTAAAAAATTGGGACTCGAATGACTTTTTCTGCATATAAATAAAAAATAGTGGGAAAATACCTTTCTACAGAGATCCCATATGTCTAAATCAGAATAGTTTTGGCCCAGTTATTCAAGTTTTTGTAAACCAATCTTTGAAAAAAGTAGAAAAAAAACAGCATCAAAAATCTCATTATTACGATTCCGTTGAAGAGATTTTTAAATATTTTTATGCAGATTTTTTAAGCCTAATCTGTTTTTTCATCTGCGGGGTCTTTTTCCAAAAAGTTCTTTAAGAAACTATTTTTATTCATAAAAAACTCCATTTTTGGAGTTATTTTCAAGTCGGTTCAGCTCCAGTGTTGCCAGAACTTTTTGGACGAACCGGCTAAATTGGCAAGTAAATCCGGCTAAAATGTTTCAACTAAATTTTACATGTTTTATTTAAATAAATCACGAGTAAAAAGACTATTTCTTGGAGAGAAGTTACAAATTCCAGCCGGAAAAATTTTTGCCAGCAAGAATTTGCTATTAGGAAAAACATATGATTGTGGCAAATGGTTGGATTTTTTGTCGACGATAATTTGAATAAACAAGTTCGTTAAATTTAAAAATTTACAATCTGGAGCGATTTTAAAATGTAAAATGTAAGTTAATACTTGTTTACTTAATTAATTCAGTTAATTCCAATGATTTGAAAGGTACTCGGCCAAAAAAAACTGTATTCTCAATCGGAATGCAATCTCAACCAGAGTCAATATAGTAAACCCGCCAAAGAAATTGAAACGTATGTTGAAGAAGTCGGACTGACAAGATATATACACGTAGATTCCGTTTTTTANATAGAAATATGTGCTTTTTTATTTTCATTTTGAGTCACTTCAGTGTTGGTTCCTTTAATTCAAGTTGGCATTTGGTTTTTGGAATTTAAATAAGTTCTCAGCAAAAAAGTTTGTTTAAAAAAATACATATCGCTAGCTTAGTGTGAAAAGTTGCTAAGTCCACTTTTTATAAAAACTCATATTTTGATATAGGAGGCTTAAGAAATTGAACACGCATCGTTTCGAAAATTATAAAGGCACTTATTTTATTTTTTCCTCTTCATAAGCAATAAAAGGAAAATTTGCTAAGTCCAAAAGAAGCACCACAAATCCGATAAGGCCAAAATAATACGACATCTTTTAATAAATATTGAAACCTTCTGATTCTTATGGAGTTTTTCTTTGCTTTAAACGCGCAAAATGTTTGATTCAAAGTCTTGCGAAGTAGTTAAAGAAAATGGCTATAGAAAGATTTTTTCCTCTCCTGTAAAATTTTTAAAATGGGACTTAGCAACTTTTCTTTCTAAGCTAGCGATATGTGTACATAGTGCTTGAAAATATCAATTTTTCCCTTACCTTAAACCTTTGGGAGTGGGCAAAAATGATGTTTTGTAATTTAGACAGAATTGAATATGCGCTATCTGGGAAGACAATATCTACATGTAATATTTTTTCTGTTGGCACTATATCCAAACACAAACGCATCTTAAGTGTCTTAACAGTGAAACAATTTATTATTTTCTAAGTTTGCGAATAAAACTTCACACTTAAAATTAAGACATTTATAACAAACATTTTATAAAGAAAATCCCTTCTTCGTTTAAAATAAAAATAAGCGAAATCGGCCCAATTTCATACAACCCTGCCTGACATGAAATTTTTCTCCACGATAAGGCTTGTATCCATTTCTAACAGATTTTGGGTCGCTTAGTCAAAAATAGAAACATATATACAAATTTGAAATTTAAGAAAACAAGGCAAATAGCAAAATCGGCTAATTTTTTTCTGCAAAAGGCTAACAAATCGGCTGTCGGCTAAATCGAAATTTCTCCGGCTGTTTGCTATCGCAACCGGCTAAATCTAGCCGGAAAACGGCTAAAATGGCAACACTGTCCAGCTCGCTTAAATCTAAATATTTTTCCGAAATATTTTGGTGGACGTCTTAAAATATAATAGATTTTGTAATCTCGGCGGAAAACCCGCAACTTTTTTTGGTGGCGCAGTCTAATGCACATACAAACTTAAGGCACATAGCCGTATGCTGCGCGGAGTTTGCATAATCGGAAGTAATAATAATTGGAATCGCAATTCCTCTTCCTCTGCATATGCCTAAATGTATGCAAACATTTGCAACAGCAAGTAAACACAGGGTTCTTCTAATCAAAAGATTTCTGCTGCAAAACACCAGAAATAATTTTGGAAACACCCATAACATGCTGTGCAAAGGCGCATCGCGTAGTTCCTTCCTTTTCCGCTGCAGCCTTTGTGCATTTTTAGGCGCAGTGCTACAAAAAGGAAACGCATATACAAGGTAGCAAATTCGCAGGGTGCACTTGATGATTGTTTTTTTTTCATTCCGTTATTCGAAAAAAAATTTTGGTGATGCATTTCCGAACGTTGTTTTTTGCAGTTCGCAAACATTTATGCACTTATGCATTTATGATGCATTTCCGAACGTTTTTTTTTGCAGTTTGCTTTTAATACGGTTTTAAACAAATTAACAAAGTAATGTATATAATTAGCAATAACAATCGCGACGTCAAGTTTAAAAAGCGACAAATCAGCCATTCGATATTTTCTGCTGGGCTATGCGTTGCAGCTCCGCAAATTTTACCCCTACCGAAAATAAAGATGTATACACATCAAAAATGTTAATTAATTACCATAGAACAAACCTTAGGTGAGGTATATGAATTTCTTTAGTATTAAATGATAAAAAAAAATATAAATAGAGGCGGTAACCTTGGTTCGTTATTTCTGTTTAAAAGCTATTTCAGTCCTCTTTTATATGATACCAAATTTGTTTAATTTTGATATGCTGTTTGGTTATTATCCGGGAAGGACTTTTATTTCGGAAATAAAAATATTATGCCAAGTTTAACTTGTAAAAAATAACTGTTATTTTCGGCCCCTGGAATATTGTGCAAGTGCACTGATAAAACGTATATCTGGCCAGTCACAGAAGAAAGGATTAAAACTGAATTACAAAAACTAAAATCGAAAGACGCTGTTGACGTTACAGGTTCTTCAAATTCAGAAACAACCAAAAGAATGGGAACGAAGAATTCTTTGGAAAACAACGATCTTGCCATGATGCTAGATTGTGAAGATGAAAGTCAGGAGGATACATCCGACATTTGCAGCCCCGATGCAATTCTTAGAAGGGAATCCTTGCACCGCAATAGTGCAATGGTGCAGCGTAAATCGAAAAGAATTTACAAATTTGTCAACTTTCAAGTTTTTCAAGTTTGCCGCCTCGAGCGAGTAGTTATTTAGTGGTTTTATTTACGACCCTTTGAAAACTTTTTATTAAATAAAATTTTCCAATTTTTAAATTCAAGTACTAAAAACAAACATTATTAAAAATCATTAACCTTTCCATTTTTTATTTAACTAAATCACCTAATTTACTCACCTAAATTATTTCTTAAAAATACTTGGCATCCGCATTCGCATCCGCGGATGTCAATATTCCACATTCGCAACATCCCTAGTACATACACACATATAT